AGTATATTTTTTATATTGAACGTAAAAATTTAATGTGCGAGAGGGGTTTCTTTATTTACAAATCACCTTATAACAAAGTTTCTATTCAATAGATAAAAATAAAAAGGTGAAGACAGACGGGTGTGGTGTTGTAGGCTCACGATTCCCAACACTCATTGCAGAAACAGCGGGATCATGCATGACTTCCGGACCGACGAACAAACGTGAGGTCCACTCGGGCTGCATATTGATATCCTGTCTCAAAAAAAAAAAACCATTAACAATCAAAAAGGAACATCTGTAGTCCCAGGATCTGAGAGATGGAGGCAGGAGGAACAGGAGTTTAAGGCCATTCTCAGCTACATATAAAGTTTGAGGCCAGCCTGGTCTACATAGTGAGTTCCAGGGCAATCAGAGCTGTATAATAAAGAGACCCTGTCTCAAAAACAAACAAACAAAAAGGTTAGAGACTCAGGCGTTAAGAAGACATGATGCTCTTGTAGAGGACTGGAGTATGGTTCCCAGGACCCACACGGTGGCTCACAACCATCTGCAATTCCAGTTCTAGGAGATCCTATGCCCTGCTCTCAGCTCTGAAGGCATAGAGGACAGGCGTGGTACACACACATAAATGCAAGCAAACACTCAGATACATAAAGCAAAATAAAGAAATCCCTCTCTGTGTGTATGTGTCTAGGCAACTAGTGGCGAGGAAGGCAGACACTAGCGCTGACAAAGAACAAAAGGGAACTAAGAGCCAGAGGCTTGGTGCCCAGCTGAGGATGCTGGGAAGGACTCTGGAGGGTTTGAAGTGCTACTTCATTGACAAGGAGTCCTGAAGGCTCCCCAGCAGATGTGTTTTCTATGACAAAAACAGCTCCAGAACTGCTAAAGGATGTACCGCAGCAGAAGGAGGCTGCGGGGGCTGAAATAAAAAGCGACTTTTCCTAGACTATGAGAGGGCAGGGGCAGACTTCTTGTGGGAAATGATGTCAGTGACTGGACAGAGGGTTGCCACTCTCTGCTAATGGCATGTTGTTAATCCGGACTCTTTCTTCCTTTATTTTTTTGAGACAGTTCTTTTCTATGTAGTTCTAGATGTTCTGGAACTTTTATACACAAGGCTGGCCTTGAACTCACAGAGAACCACTGACCTCTGCCTCCCGTTGTGGGATTAAAGTCGTAGCCACCATACTTGGCCCGGAGCCAACTCTATTCAGTGCAGGTAACTACAGTACAAATCCCTGGCCAGGGGTTTGATCCTGTTTTTTCAAATTGACCTGGACCAGAAACGGAAGACCGGACCAAGACTCTGATTCTGCCTGTTGGACCAATCCTTTGCCCTTTCTGCACCTCAGTTTATCAAGTGAGATCAAAGCCCCTTCCTCCTAGCTGTTTTTCTGTGAGGGGATTTAGAGAAACAAAGCACTCATGCTCTGGGGAGCCTGACAGGGCTTTCAACTATGGAGCAAGGCGCCAGAGAGCTGGCGGGAGCTGGAACAAGAGTCACTCCTGGCGCCTCCTGACCATGCCGGCGGCACAGAGAGCAAGCCATCCACCCAGGGCGGTGCCTGAGGACTGAGGAGCAGACCAGGTGGGGTCTGCTCGCCAGCCAAGAAAGGACTTTCGCAGTTTGCCAGGGACACGCCCCACACTTGCGCCTTAAACTGCAGACCTCTGCTTGGAAGTAAGGGAACACTAGAAGATTACGAGCCTCTTAAAAGAAGAGGCGTGGCCTACGACGTTGTCCAGGGGCTCAAGGAGGCGTGCACAGAACTCGGCAGGATTACGTAATGGTGCAAAAGCTGGTGCCAGACTCTTGGGTGGCTTCGCCCAAGGCGTGGCCAAGGAGCCAACTTGGTTGCGAAACCGTGAAAGGGTCCGGGCCAGGTTCTCTTACAGCTCTGCCCATGCTAGGGCGTGGCCAAGGAACCGAGCTCGCAGATGCACGCAAAGTGGGAATTACGTAATGATGCAGGAGGCGGTCCCAGAGTCCCTAGTAGCTCCGCAAAGGTGTGGCCAAGGAGCCCACCTCCGGGTTCCTGACTGTGCTACCGCAGTTGAATGATGGTTCGAAGAACGTGCCGGTGGGGTGCCCCCGCCCGGGGCGTGGCAGGGGCTCACAGGTCTGAAGGGGATTGTATATTGCCCAAGAGGAGGGACCAGTCCCATGTAGCGCTTCCCTGGTCCTAGTCAGGAACTGGTCTCTAAGCGGCTCGCAGTGTCTGCAGGAATTGCGTAATGGTGCAAGGAGGCAGGGCTAGTGTATGGCTACGCCCAGCCTGTAACCAAGACAACTAGTCCTTCTGATCAGACTCAAAGTGGCTGCAGGAAATGCGTAAAGTCCAAGGGCTGGGGCCAGCACTTCAGACGGCTCCGCCCAAGAAGATCCTGCATTGGGAGGGGACTGAACTGAGCTCCGAGTACGTTAGGCCACGTGACCTAAAGTGGCGCCTCGATGGGGGGGCGGGGGCATAGGCGGCCCTAATTGGAATAGACAAGGCTCTGGGAGGTGGAGCATGCGCAGGACAGCCCTAGGAAGCACGATTTGCGGGCTGTAGGTATGCTCCGCTGGGCACGAGCGTGGAAGGTCCCCCGTGGGATACTCGGTGACTCCTCTCCCAAGTGTTCGGTGGTTCCTGTCACGTTCAGTAGCAGCCGTAGTAGTGGCCAAGGAAACGCCGATCCGAGGTCAGTCAAGGACACAGGGAGGGTGACCCGCCACTGGTCCACTTCGCACGTGGCCCAGCTGGCCCCGCCCCTCTCTGGCCTCGCCCCTTTTCTCCTTCTCGCTTCCCCCCTCTTACTCTATGGTGGCCCCCACTTTCCAGGCCGCTGCCGCTGTCCTATAATCTTCTAGATGGAGACGCGACACTCCCAGCCATCGTCTTTTTGCATGGACTCTTCGGCAGCAAAACCAACTTCAACTCCCTCGCCAAGGCGATGGTTCAGAGGACCGGCAGGAGGGTGAGCTTCCGGGTGGGGCGGCGCATGGGTGGGCGGAGACTAAGGGGTAAGTCTGAGGGCAGTGGACCTAGTTTCAATCACTCAGGTCTGGGCTCTTGCTGATAAATGGAAGGTTTCAGTGCACAGTAAGCCGGAAGACATCTTTGAAGAGGTCCTGCAAGATGTCTTGCCGTTAGTCCATTTACGTTACCGATCTCCACCTGTCTCTTTGTCAGGTCCCAAAGAAACTCGGGACAATTTTGTGATACCTACTAGCATACCAGAGCACACTCTAGCCTCCCAGCTTAGCCACTCAGTACCTGTGGCTCCTCTGCTCTCCTCACCCGCACCCCTTACCTTTCCAGTCCAGAAGTTTCCCTGCCCCCAGCTTCTCCTTCCTATTAGCCCACTCATTTAAGGCATTTGCTCTCTTGGTACTCCGAGCCTCTTTTGGTCCGCATGCTGTCCTTCCTTGGCAACTAAAATTTTATCATTTGACCTCCACATGTACACCATGGTATGTGCGTGCACAAACATAACTTGCACACATGCATACATGTGTGTATATAATACAATAAAGGTATATGTTGGATAGCAACCAAGGAAGTTGTTCAAGACTGACCTCTGGCCTCCACGTGAAAATGTACACACACACACAGACACACACACACACACACACACACGTCTCCAGGCTTCTCGCCCTGGCTGCTTTATAGTCCCTACCAGGTTTTTCATGGTCTGTAATCGTAGTAACACCGTTCTTCCGATTTCACCCCCACCCCAGGTGCTGACAGTGGATGCTCGGAACCACGGTGACAGCCCCCACAGTCCAGATGCAAGCTATGAGGCAATGAGTCAGGACCTTCAGGGTCTCCTCCCACAGCTGGGCCTGGTACCCTGCGTCCTGATTGGTCACAGCATGGGAGGAAAGACAGCCATGCTCCTGTCACTGCAGAGGGTGAGCTACACCTATCTGGGTCCTTGTAATGCAGTATAAGCCTTACGTCTCCCATTGATAACGTGGGACTCATCTGCACCCTGGATGGCCAGGCTCCAGAAACTCTGCTGGAGACTCAGAGAGTTTGTCTGGGACCTGCTCTGGTCTGATTCTGTCTCACAGCCAGATGTCGTGGAACGATTGGTTGTTGTAGACATAAGCCCAATAGGAACCACACCTGGATCATACATTGGAAACTTCATAGCAGCCATGAAAGCTGTTGAGATCCCAGAGAAGGTGCCGCACTCCCAGGCCCGAAAACTGGCGGATAAGCAACTTAGCTCCGTTGTCAAGGTGACACACACTCCCCCCTCCCCCTTTCCCCATGGTGTAGACTAAGACATGTCAGAGGGAAAAGTGGTGGATGGGCCTCCCAGGGAGTCCCTTCACAGCTGCCAGAGCTCCCCACAGGAAGCGAGCATCCGGCAGTTCCTGCTCACTAACCTGGTGGAGATGGATGGGCGCTTCTCCTGGAGAGTGAACTTGGATGTGTTAGCTCAACACTTGGACAAGATTTTGACCTTCCCACAGCAACTTGAATCTTACTCGAGGCCAACTCTCTTTGTGCTTGGTGGAAATTCTACATACGTACAGTAAGCCTGAGTGGGAACCATAGGAACGGGCATGCTTTACCCACCCCTAGCTGTGGGAGCCTGCTTGGGTTGGGGAGGGCTTGGGAGTGGCGATCGGGTATCCGGGAGCCTGGCAACACCACTGGGCATGAAGACTCATGCAGCCCTCTCTCTCCTGTTCTCTCCCTCCCTTTCCCCTCCCCCCTACCTCTCCATTGTTTTCCTTAACCTCATCTCCACTGGCTTCACTATGGTGACCAGACCCAGCCACCACCCAGAGATTAGGCGGCTCTTCCCTCAAGCCCAGATTCAGACCGTGCCTAATGCTGGCCACTGGGTCCACAGCGACAACCCCAAAGACTTCCTGGATGCTGTCACCAACTTCTTGGCTTAAGAAGTAGCTCCTTGGAAGAGCAGCCAAAGGACTCCAGGCTTGGGATCTGTGCCACCTGTCCCTTGCTTCTGCACAGAAAAACTCAGGGGCACTGACTGAAAGGGTCCAGGGGTACAGAGGTGGTCTAACACTTTAATGAATAAAGACAGTTCCCTTAAACACCCGGGATCCATTGTCACCACCGTCGTCCCCACTGACTCTGGGAGAGTTGGATCCAGGAACTCCTGCTCGTGCTTGAGTTCTCGCGTGCGCCCAGCGTGCCTCTGGACTCTTCCTGCAGCTGACTCTGCACCCGCTCTCGAACCATCTGCTGCATGTCTTCCTGGGCACAAGAGAGAGAGAGCAGGTCCGAGGAAGTCCCTGGGGATGACGCAGGGGCGCAGGGGCGTCTTGTAAGCCTCCCGAGTCAGAGGCCCCACCCTACCTCCCAGGCCTCCACCTCCTGTTTCAGCCTCAGTTTCTCCTGCAGGACCTCCAGCAGCTGAGCCTCCACTGTGCGCAACCTGGCTCGACAGGAATCCAGCTCCTCTTCCACCGCTCGCTTCCTGCAGGCGGCAGGGACGGGGGCGGGGGCGATGTGTTCTAGTGTCTGTCTTCTGGAGATATCTGGAGTCCCCTTCGTCTCCTCTAGTAGGAATGGGTCTCCCCACTTCCCCCTCCCCCACCTCCACCTGCAGTTTCTCTCACTTAGCAATGGCTTCATCCCTCTCCTGCAGTACTTGCTCCAGGGAAGGCTCCACCCGGGTGTCCCCCAGTGCTCCTGCCGCATGGGGTTCTGGGTTCTGTTAGAGGGTGATGGATGAGGAAGCAGTGACCTAGGACTTGTCGGAATGAGAAGACTTACACTGGGTCCTTCTGCCCTGCCCCTGGCCTGCCTCAAACTATTTCCACTGTCTTACCACCCTTTGCCTCCAGGGGGTGCTGCGCCCGCATCTTGTAAAGCCTCAGGAGCCGCTTTTAGTCTGGCTAACTGGGAAGTAGACCAGGGGACTTTGAGGCTTATTCAGGAATGGTCTGATTCAGCAGAACGGACAGTGTTTTAAGCTCCCGAGGAGAAAGGGATTCCCACACAGCCCTGTGGAAATAATACTGAGTGGCCGGGGAACGCTTACCTTTCTATGTTCTTAGAGAGTCAAGGCCTGGTGACTGAGACTCTTGTCAGTTGGTTGAGGCTAGCAGACAGAGCCCTTTGCCCTTCCAGGCAGGGCACTCCCTAGCAGACTCCTCCTACAGGAGGAGAGCCTGGGGCAAGGAGCAAGTGCACCTCCCTCTTACACTTTGGAAGGCCCCAAGCCTTTTCCTCAAGTCTTGCCGGCCATCGCCTCCAGGGGGCGCTCTACCCAGGTCTCACAATAGCCAAGGAGGCACAGACAACCTAGGTTTAGCTCAGCTCTAAGGCTGAGCATGAGACAGTCCCCCAGCACAAGGGGTTGACTCTTCAAGGAGTCATCTGCCCCCAGAATTCTAACCCCACCTCAGGAGGAAAACACACACACACACAAGACATGGTTACCAATTTTTTTCAAGACAGGGTTTCTTTGTGACACCCTGGCTATCCTCTGTAGACTAGGCTGGCCTTGAACTCGGAGCTCCACCTGCCTCTGCTTCTGAATGCTAGGGTTAAAGGCATGCGTCACCACTGCCCGGTTCATTACCAGTAGCTTGAGTACCTACCTTCCCTTTATACTGTTACTAGTATACCCCAAGCAGGCAGTGCCTGGGCGCTGTCTGACTGAACCACTGCATTTCCAAGCTGGGGGACTGTTGTTTGTTTTGAGACAGGGTTTCTCTGTGCGCCACCACTGCTTGACCATAAGATGTCTAATCCATATTGGAAGAGGGAAAATACTTTTAAGACTTTGAGCATCTCTCTCCCCCACCCTCCTTCCTTGCTTGCTTCTTTCTTTCTTCCTTTCTTGTATTTCTTTGTGTAATGCTACCTAAGGAATGAACACAGGCATGTGTACGTGCTAAGAAAGTGTTCTGCTGCCTAGCTGTGCTCGGTAACCTAAACTAGGGTTCCTAGGCAGGAGCTCTACCACTGAGCCACGCCCCCAGCCCCTCACTGGAGGATTCTAGGCAGGAGCTCTACCACTGAGCCACGCCCCCAGCCCCTCACTGGGGGATTCTAGGCAGGAGCTCTACCACTGAGCCACGCCGCCAGCCCCTCACTGGGGGATTCTAGGCAGGGGCTCTACCACTGAGCCACGCCCCCAGCCCCTCACTGGGAGATTCTAGGCAGGGGCTCTACCGCTGAGCCACGCCCCCAGCCCCTCACTGGGGGATTCTAGGCAGGGGCTCTACCGCTGAGCCACGCCCCCAGCCCCTCACTGGGGGATTCTAGGCAAGGGCTCTACCGCTGAGCCACACCCCCAGCCCCTCACTGGGGGATTCTAGGCAGGGACTCTACCACTGAGCCACGCCCCCAGCCCCTCACTGGGGGATTCTAGGCAGGGGCTCTACCACTGAGCCACGCCCCCAGCCCCTCACTGGGGGATTCTAGGCAGGGGCTCTACCACTGAGCCACGCCCCCAGCCTATAATATACCATTTTGCATAAGGAACTTGAGCATCTTAACATCCTTGGATTGGATGGTGGTAGAGGTTTTTTTTCCTCTGTGTGGCCCTGGCTATCTTCTGTAGACCAGGCTGACCTTGAATTTAGAGGAACCTCTGCCTCCCGAGTGCTGGGATTAAAGGCTCTTGTTTGATCCATTTTTTTTATTTTAAAGAATTATCTATTTTATGTATGTGAGCACACTGTAGCTGTCTTCAGACATGTCAGAAGAGGACGTCAGATCCCATTACAGATGGTTGTGAACCACCATATAGTTACTGGGAATTGAACTCAGGACCTCTGGAAGAACAGTCAGTGCATTTAAACACTGAGCCATCTCTCCAGCTTTCCTGCTTTTCTTTTGAGACAGGGCTTTTAATTTTTTTGTTCAGACATGGTGGTTCATGCCTTTAATCCAGCACTTAGGAGGCGGAGACAGGCAGATCTCTCAGTTCGAGGCCCACTTGGTCTACAGAGCTAGTTCCAGGACAGCCAGGACTATACAAAGAAACCCTGTCTGAAGGGAGTAGGGGGACCTAGTTCAGGATAACTCAGTAGCCAGTCAGCTCAAACTTGTAGAGTTCAACACCAAAGTGTTCCCCAGTCCGTATTCACAGGGGGGCAAAGTTGCATTGAAAATCTTCCCAAAAAGTATATGGAAGATGGATTCTAAAGATAGGATATATGTGTTATCTTTTTTCCCCCCTCTTTTGAATTCTGTGGATACCTGGTATACTCTGGTAAAAACACTCGTATACATTAAAAAGGAAAGAAATTTCTTTTTTGTTTTCCCCCCCTCTTCATTTGTGTTTCCTTATGCCGTATCGAGAATATTCGTTTCTAGCACAGGGATAGCTCAGTGACTAAGAGGGTTTTTTGTTTGTTTGTTTGTTTGTTTGTTTGCAGAGGACAGAGTTCAGTTCTCAGCACCCTTATCTGGTGGCTTGAAACTTCGTGTATATCCAGTTCCAGAGGTTCCAATGCCCTCATCTGGCCTCCAAAGGCATCCATGCACATAACATAAACTTAAAACAAAAACTATACAATAAATACCTTGGAGATGTAGGTCAGCAATAGAGCGCCTGCCTAGAATTCCCCCAGTGAGGGGCGGCTTCGTAATGGGGTGCATGTGTGAGGGTCTAGGTTTTGTCCCCAACACTCAAAAAAACACATTGGGGGATAAAGCTTCCTCTTCCTTCTCCAGGCGCATACAGCCCTTATACCTCTGTTATGCTCTTGTCACTGGCAGGGAGGGTGTCACTGCCAGGGTGTCTGACACCCGCTGGAGGGCTTCTGAAGGGAAGGCAGCTAGACAAGCGAAGCAGTACCACCCTTGGCCTGTAGGTGGCAGCAGCTCCCAAGAGCAAAGATTCCATGAACTGCCCCTACTCCCCCATGTGTGAAATAGAAAGAAACCCTGCCCAGGGTGCTTGCTAATTCCCAGGGTTCCTTTATAAAAATATCTGCTTGCCTTACCCTGCATATGTTTTCTGCCCACTCTATCGACACCTCTGGAATCGAGGGACATGACCCAGTGTGGGTGGTGATGGCAGCGGCACAGGCCTGTAATTCCAGCATTGGCGAGGTGGAGGCCAAAGAAAAAGGAATTCATGATCATTCTTTATTCCAGCACTTTAATCCCGGCAGAGGCAGGCAGATCTCTGAGTTTGAGGCCAGCCTGATCTATGCAGTGAGTTCCAGAATAGCCAAGGCTACACAGAGAAACCCTGTCTCGAAAACCAAAAAACGAGAGAAGTGAGGGAGGGAAGGAAGGAAAGAAGGAAGAGGCCAGCCTGGGATAAATGAAACTCTGACTCTGCAGATGTGTTTTTCAACCTGACCCTCATCTGAATTCCAGGGCATACTTGTCTGCTCTCTTTCCCATGGTGCTGTGACGGGGAGCTCAAATTTAAGAATACAGACCGCAGTCCAATTACCCTTTACCCTGCCGCATCCTACTCCCTCTCCCCTCCCCCTCCTCGTCTCTCCTGCCCTGTGAGATAGGCACCCTAAATGGCCTTGGGTGTTCTGGAACTCACTGTGTAAACAAAGTCGACCTTGAACTCATTCCTGCCCTTCTGCATTTGCCTTCCCAGAGTCGAGGTTAAAGGTGAGCCACGCAGAGTTTTATTTTGAATTTTAAGTATATGGGTGTTTTGCCTGATGCCTCCGGAGGCCGGAAGAGGCTGTCAGATCCTGAGCCACCCGTCCTCATGGGAGCTGAGAACCAAACGCAGGTCTTCTGAACGAACAGCAGGTGCTTTTTAAAAATCTAGCTAGCTAATGGTTTTGTTTTTTCAAGACAGCGTTTCTCTATGTATTCAATTTTTGTTGTTTTATCTATTTATTTATTCATTTTGAAACAGAGTTTCTCTCCATAGCCCTGGCTGTCCTGGAACTCACTCTGTTGACTACTCTGGCCTTAAATTCAGAAATCCCCCTGCTGAGTGCTGGGATTAAAGGTGTGTGCCACCACTGTTTGGCTTTATTGGTTTTTGTTGTTGTTGTTGTTTTTCATTTTGTGAATGTGTGTCCATGCATGTAAGAGTGGGTGCTGATGGAAGCCAGAGGTGTTGGATCCCCTGGGGTTGCACTTACAGGTGCTTGTGGCCACCCATGTTGTATTGGGGATTGAACTCAACTCTTCTGCAAGAGTAATAATCTCTGTTACCCACTGAGCCATTTCTCTAGGTCCTGGACCACTTTAAAATAATATTTTTGAGATACGGTCTTACTATGTAGCTCAGGCTGGTCTAGAACTCAAAATCCTGCCTTCGATATCCACTGTGCTGTATATAGCCCTTTTTTTGTCTTTGGAAAAGCAGTACCAAAGGTCTGGAGAGATGGCTTAGCAGGTAAAGGTGCTTGTCACTAAGCCTGGTAACCTGAGTTCGGTCTTCAGGACCTACATGGAAGGATAGAACTGAGTCCTACAAGTTGTCCTCTGACCTCCACAAGCGCACTGTGGCACATGTATGTGCACGCACGTGCACGCGCGCACACACACACACAATAATAAAAACATTATTTATTTATTTATTTATTTATTTATCTATTTATTTATTTATTTATTGAAACAGAGTTTCTCTGTGTAGCCCTGGCTGTACTTTGGAACTTGCTTTGTAGACGGGGCTGGCTTTGAATTCACAGAGATCTACCTGCCTCTGTCTCCCAAGTGCTGGAAAGAAAAGGCATGTGCCACCACTGCCTAGCAAAGCTTGCTTTTTTTTTTTTAAAGGGGAGGGCAAGAACCAATACTCAAATACTGAATTCTGTTGGCTCCACCTTTAGTAGATAGCTACAATCCAGCTCTTTCTTTTACCAGGATCACGGGTGTCTGTCACCTCCCTTCAGGACACATCTTATGGATGTACATGCCCTCAACCACCGTCAGCCTGATTTAACCTGAAACAATCCTGTCAAAACCTATGGTGGATACTATGCAAGCCTCTTCTACTCCCGTGCCCACCAGCAACAGGCTAAAGACGCTTAAAGCTTCTCAGGCCCAGTTCCTCCATGGACTCTGGCTTCATCTCTTCCGGTGTCTTCCTTACCCACAATGCTCCGGGCCTCCTCACCTCCTTGACATTCCCACACACACGCTAGACATGCTTCCTAGTCATTGCCGTTGTACATACTGTTCCCTCAGCCCCGAGGGCTGTTCCCTACATGGG